ACCCTCTGTTTTTCTCCATTTTCAAAGCTCTTCATCTACTTCAACTTTGTCAGAGTTAATAACTTAAACAGTTGGGGGGGAATCTAAACATGAAGCACCAGCATTCAAGTTTGCCTCCAGGGTTTAGATTCCACCCTACAGATGAAGAACTTGTCCTTCATTACCTAATGAAGAAACTCAGTTCCTCACCTTTCCCGTTTCGATCATCGCCGACATCAATATCTACGAATTCGATCCCTGGGACTTACCAGGTGAGCCTTCCTTTAACAACCCTTTTAATGTTGTCATTTCTGAACTTGTTTTAATGTGCTAATAATGTTATGTCTTTGTTCTCCATCAGACAAGGCTGTGTTCGGTGAAAAAGAATGGTACTTTTTCAGCCCTCGGGACCGAAAGTACCCTAATGGTGCAAGGCCGAACAGAGCAGCTGGATCTGGGTATTGGAAAGCAACTGGTACAGATAAGATTATAGTTACATCTTCAGTGGTAGCCGGAAGGGGTGAAGTGCATTCGAATATCGGTGTAAAGAAAGCTTTAGTGTTCTACAAAGGAAGGCCTCCCAAAGGGATAAAAACAAATTGGATCATGCATGAGTATCGACTTTCACAGAGCCCTAACAACAACAACAACAACAGACCGTTCAGGCCTAAAGATTGCTCCATGAGGGTAAGAGCCTCTTCTTAAACGCTGCAAATCACTGCATTTTACGTAGTGATTTGACTCTTTTTAATGTGGATTTTAGTTGGATGATTTGGTTCTTTGCCGCATCTACAAGAAACCCCATGTTTTGTCTTCGACAACGTCAACAGCAGCAGCAGCAGATGATGGAGTTCAAGAGGAAGATGAAGCAGAACAGTTCATTCAAGATACCCTTTTACCAGCCTTGGAAAGCCCTTCGACCGACATCAATAATACCATTAGCCTTCGTCCCCAGAAATCATGTTCTTTCTCCAATCTGTTAGATGCCGCCGACTACTCGATGCTCAGAAGTTTCCTTGCAGATAATCAGTGCAACATAACCGGATATGAATCTTCTCCGTTCAGCCTTCGGAACATCAAACAGACACCGGCCGCCGGTGACAGCAGGTTGCTGCAAATGGAAAACAAACTCAAGCGCCAATATTCAAGCACTGATGAGGATTACTTGGAGCCATCAAAGAAACATATGGGTTCTTGCAGTAAAGCTAAGAGCACCAGCCAATCTGATTTGACTAGGTACAAATTGCTAAACCAGCCAATTTTCAACCATAGTTTACTTCCAAATCATCATTTTCATTTCCAATGATAGATAAAAAGGAATTGCCAGCGATTGAACATGTGTGAATTTGTATTGAAAACAAATGTGAAAACTTGAGTAGAAATATTTGAAGTATTTGAAAATGTATCAGATTTTGTAGAAAAGCTGTATCATATTCTGACTTTGTAAATAATGTATTTGAAGATGAAGACAGTTCATCTTACACTTGGGTATAAGCACAATGTATAATTAGAAAAAATATACATTTTTAATTATTAATTAATATAGAAAAAATATACATTTTTAAAAAATAAATAAAGAAAAATTTACGATACCCCTCTTAATTAAAAAATGTATTTATGAAAGAAAAAAAATTCTTACCATCGCTATAATAAATTCTTAGTTGCTAAATTTCAAGTATATATTAATCATATAATTTTATTAATGTTACAAATAATTTTAATTATAACATGATAAAAAAGTTATGATCTAATATTTTCGCATCCACTAATAATTATTTGTTAATTTTTTTTTGAAAGATAGTACTTTATATTATGAAGAATTACAGAGTACACTACCTCAAGACCCTCATTAAAAAACTTCCCTAAGCCTAATTGAAGGAAAAATAATAAACCTTAAGGTGGTAAGAGTGAAATACACGAACAATTCTTACTTAACACATACACACAACACAAACACATCAAATACAAACCATGGGAAAAGTTGAGTACTAGAACTAGAACAAAAGCACAGACGAATTATTTGTTAATTTTGTATACAATAAACATATGTTGAGTATTATATTAATGGTTTAATGTTTATTTTATAATAAATTTAAATATTAAATACTTATTTTATATATTTTTTAAATTTAATGTTAAATAAAATATTTTAAGATAATTTAGTGGTATTGTGAGATAGTTGAACAACAAAAACACGGGTTGTTCTCCATTTTTCATTGATTGGCTCAATAATTTCACAATCCCCCACCCCGAAAATCCTGTTTTTATGTGGTACAATTATTAACAAATCCTAATTTTCAGAGAAATTATTGGATGATTTAAGTTCATCATGTACTTTAATCAATAATATTTATTTACGTTATTTTTTAAGATAAATCTTCATCTTTTTTTATATATAAATAAAATGTAAATTATTATTTGAAAATTATTTTAAAATTTATGACTGTAATTTATTAGAATTATAGATTATGTGATCAGCCTGAAATAATTTCTCTAATTTTCCCTTCAAATATTTCCAACAATTTGAATTTCTTTTAGAATCATAAACAAATCCAGCTGAAGGCTTTAACACATTTTCACTGGAAATAAACCAAAACCTTTTCATCGCTTATGCTGTCTTTAAGCCATGTTTAAGTCAAAAAAAAACCTCCATTTCCATCCAAAACCAAATTTTCTCTATGGTTCCTTCGTTCATTCACTTCTTGGCTTTCAAGGTATTCAAATCAATCAATTGTAAGTAATTTGAATTTCAACTTCACGACGAATCTAACGTTTTTATCTTTTAAGAGTATTCAAATCAATCAATTGTAAGTAATTTGAATCGGATATGTTCAATTTTAATTTAAATTTTGAATTTTCTCAACTAAGACAACCGGTAAATTAATTGGTATCGAAAGGGCGGTTCAATGGTGCTAATCCTTCCTTGACCGTAACTGACTCCCGAACCCGACACATTTCTGGTAAAAACGCAGATCAGGTAAGATGGTGTCCGACCCACCTAAATTCATTTTAAAATGGTCGGTGACGACTGCAATTCACATTTTTCAAATCGAAGTCCAATTCTAGGACCCAACAGAAAGACGGTTACGACACTATTTTGTAAGTGAAAATCCTAAAGATGCCATCTTTCTTTACCAACAAGTCCAAAGCTTCTACCTTTACTTCAAATTTGATAGCTTTACTTATGCTTTCCTTATTAAAGCTTGTGTTAGTTTAGCTGACCTAGCTTTAGGCAAACAGTTTCACGGGGTTGAAATAAAAATGGGTTTTGAGTCTCATCTCTATGTGCAAACTGTGATGGTTAACATGTATGTAGAAAGTGGGGGGTTGATTGAGTGTAAGAAAGTGTTTGATGAAATGCCTGAGAAGAATCACGTGACTTGGAATGTGATGATCACTGGCTTGGCTAAGCAAGGAGAGATTGAGTTTGCACGTTTTTTGTTCGAAGGGATGCCCGATAGGAATATTCTTTCATGGAGTGGGATGATTGATGGATACACTAGGATGAACCAGCATAGGGAGGCTTTAGGTTTGTTTCGAAAAATGGTTGCGGATGATGGGGTCGATCCTAGTGAAATAACACTCTTAGCTATTTTGCCTGCTGTTTGGAACATTGGAGATGTCAAGATGTGCCAGTTGATTCATTGTTATGGATTGAAGAGAGGGTTTATTGTGTCCGACATTCGTGTCATGAATTCGCTCATAGATGCCTATGCAAAATGCGGTTGCATAGTAAGTGCATCGAGGTTTTTCGAAGATATTTCGACTGCTACGAGAAATTTGGTTTCATGGACATCATTGATTACAGGTTTTGCTATGCATGGGATGGAGAAATTAGAAGCTGTTGAGAACTTTGAAAGGATGGAGCAACAAGGTTGGAAACCAAATGGGGTCATTTTTGTGAGTGTTTTAAGTGCTTATAGCCATGGATGTCTGGTTGAGGAAGGGCATAAGTTTTTCGAAAAGATGGTTAACGAGTATCGAATCTCGCCTGACATTAAGCACTATGGGTGTTTAGTGGACATGTTGGGAAGGGCAGGGAGGTTGGAAGAAGCCGAACATATTGCTCTACAGATTCCTTGTGAGATATCAAATGAAGTGGTTTCGAGAATACTGCTCGGTGCCTGTTGCTTTTACGGTAATGTCGAGATGGGCGAGAGGGTGACATCGAAGATAAGGGAGACCGAGAAGAGATACGGAGGTGACTACGTTCTTATGTCGAATATCCTTGCGGGTGCCAGAAGGTTTGCAGATGCTGAGAGGTTGAGGGCATTGATGGAGAAGAGGAATGCCATCAAAGTTGCTGGCTCGAGTGCGACCTGAGACCTTGGTGTCTAATACTCTAATGTGTAACCATAGTTGTTGATGATGATTCGTCCCTTGTACTGCAATTTCAGTTTCAACAAATTCATCTGTGAACTTAATTGAACGACAAACCCGAACTTGTATTATATTATAAATGAAAATATACAAATGTCGAGTTTTTGTAGAAAAGAAGGCATGTCCGAAACTGACCTTTAATTTTGCAAAATTTTAGGTACAATACCACTTGTCAAAAGACTGACTAATTACATTTACATGCATCTCCAGACCAGCAAGAAACCGGCCAACACTTTTCCAATTACAAAAACATCATATATGGTTGGATTCAACTCAAGGCAATATAGATGAGCGGTTTAAGGTCAATCATTGAAGCTAAAAGTAGCCAAGAAAAAAAACTGGCAAAGCCTATAAAATAAAAAGATAAAAGGCATCCACTTCTAAAGAATATAACAGACATAAACACAGCAAAAGCTCTTCTTTTTTATATATTTAATTTTAGTTTTCCTAGGAGTTAAAGGAACAGGGTTCAATTTTCAATCTGTGTTATGGTTTTGGTTGATGGGAAACAAATAGACAAATCAAACAATGGCTAAGGTTTGGGGGAAACCAAGTCTTTCATCAGCTTGTGTCTGTAGCCAGAAGAATTAAAAAGGTGGAGGTTCTTTGTATTCTAGGAGAACTTCTGGAATTTGTTTTGAAGAAAATAGATTTACTTCCTTGAAGATGAAATCTATTGCTTTGAGGTGTGATTTTAATGGGCAAAGAGTGTTCTATTTGGAAAGAAAAACTGTTGACACGAGAAGGTTTCTTCAGGTTCCCGTTAAAGCACAGGTTGGTTTCATCAACTTTATTGTTCTTTTTCAAATCTTGGATCTTTCTTTTTTTTGGAAAGAAAGGGTACGTCATTAGTGAACATTGATTCTTAATTTGTTTTATGAATTTTTTGGTTTAAAATTTCGAGTTTTTTTGGTAATTAACACGTTCTCTTATTTAACCTTCTGCAATTCTTAGCTTAGTTTTTCAGATGCCTATGAACAAACTTTAAATATTTATATAAAAGTTTCGGTTTTTGCTCTTAAATAAATGATACTACTAAATTTTAACATATTTGGTTTATGATTGAACCTCCTTCCCCCCATAATTTATCTGTGGCGAAGATCAATAAACAAAAACTAATTGGTGTCTCTTGTCTTCTGGTATTGTTTAGTTGAATCAGATACAAACTGGCCTTATTGGCAAAACTCCAAAGTGGTGGGAAACTGGACTGCAACCAAACATGAAAGAAGTGGCATCTGCACAAGACCTTGTGGACTCTCTGTTCAATGCCGATGATAAACTTGTTATACTAGATTTCTACTCCCCTGCTTGTATTGGCTGCAAGGCTCTTTTTCCCAAGGTTGTAATAATGTAGGCTCATAGTTTTACATCATCTGTGTTGCGTTGTAGTTCTGGTGATTGCAGTGTTATTTTCGCCCAAGGTTGTAGATTCATAGTTTTGTGGTATACTTTCTTTTGCGTATTTGTACATCTCCATGTATTTGTGCTGCTCTTATTTGGATTAATTGACTCTGGATGTTGGGATCTGGTAGACTTGTCAATTGGCAAAGATGAACCCGGGTTTGCAGTTTCTTCAGGTGAATTATGAGGAGCACAAATCCATGTGTTATAGCCTTAATGTCCATGTGCTGCCCTTCTTCCAATTCTATCGAGGAGCTCAGGGGCGTCTATGCCAGTTTAGCTGCACCAATGCGACGGTTAGTTCCTGTACTCCCTCTCTTCTGATGCAAATCTTATCAGATATGTTTAGTAAATAGAATTGTAGAAAAGCACCCTATCTGTCAATTTATGCTCATTTTCCCACTATGATGCATGTCAATCAAATATATGGAACTTGAATTCCAATGGTGAGAATGTATAACTCCTTCCAGGGGTCACATTTATGAACTTTTTTACGAGAATCAAAGCAGATGCATAATCTATGTTATTTGTCGAATTTTCCCTCATCTTTATCATGGTATATGTTCCAATTACAATGGTCAAAATAATTCCGCAGATCCAAAAGTTCAAGAATGCGTTGGCCAAGCACACAACAGATCGATGCAGCCTCGGGCCAGCAAAGGGTCTCGATGAGAAGGAGCTACTGGCATTAGCTGCCAACAAAGACCTTTCCTTTACCTAGAAACCAAAAACCAGTTCAACCCAATCCGATTCCTGTTCCTACAAAGGAAGACATCCTGGTATTAAAAACATGCTTAAACCAGAAAGAGAGTGAGGAGAAAACCTTGGTTGGTGCTGGGGGATGACGTTAGGTTTCCTTTTGAAAGACCTCAAATTAAAAGGCCTTCCCCCACAGTTGCCATTGTAGTACAGTTACTAGAGTTCCATGTTCGTCTTCCGAATAGAAACACTCATGTCAGAAATGGAAAACATAGTAGAGGTTGAAGTGCCGTTAATGGCAACTTTTCTCCTCCATGGAGTTGTTGTTTTTTTGGAATTTTTGTTTTTGGATCCTAGCCCGCTTTTGGTTCGAGGGTGATTGAAGAGCAAGTAGCTGTGAATATGTTTAGTAAAAGATGACATCCATATATATACATTGCTATATAAAATAAAAGCCTTTATCTTTTCCTTTTTCCCTTGTGCTTAGTGTTTAATGACAAATGAATTCCCATGTCCATCACCAGAAAGGAAACAATTGCCATATTCGAAGCTAGTTTAACATTACTGTTAAAAAAGATGTACGAGAAATATGGATTAATGCCATCAAAAGAAATATATTGAAAATAATAAAAGTTAAGAAATGCGAGGATACTTTCATTCATCTGAGAAAATGTACCCTTGAAGAAAAGAAATGGCTGTTTTGAAGTTCAGTGCACAAGAATTGTCTGCAAAATCGGAGATGAAGATGAAGGTAATCGTCCGGGAGTTGTGGATTGCATTGTCTAAACCCCACGTGGGAAAGGCATGAAAAGATGAAGGAAGAAGCTGCTATTAAAAACGCGGCCTTTTGGCTAAGATCAAGTGTAGTATCTGTTATTATCAGTTTAGTATCTGATACGTGGGCCATCGGTGCACATGATATTAAATTTTTTTTTTTTAGGGGGACTGGCCTCAACAATAGCTTGCTATTGGGTCTTTCGCGCGTCGCTCAAGCGCTGCACTAAAGCTCGAACCTGGCGCACCCCACCCGATCATAGGTCAATTTGTTTTTAAACCAACATTTGAATCCTAATAATATCCGTAACAGACAAATAAGACAAGGAGAGCAAAAAGATCGCTGGAATGCGTACAGAGTGTGAAAAAAGGAAGTGTTTCAAAGGATCCGATTTTAATCTCTATTAAAAATCCGAATCTATAACAAAAGTGTTGATAAATCGGGCAAAGTAAACGAGAACACAAAAATTTTAACGAGGTTCGACAATGTACTTACGTCATCGGTGCCTAGGCGGCGCTAGAAAATTTTATTCAATTCTCATAGGTTTAGGTTATATCTCTATTTATAATAGAAAATCCTGGTACATAATTACAAAATTAACCTGTACCGTACCGCGGGGCTGTGCCCCCGCACCCACAACCCACATAATCGTAACCCCCTCTACGAGACTTTCTTTGTAAGGACAGTTGATGTTCGCTTCGTTCACTCCATCCCCTGTCCTCTTTATCGGTATATTTATGAGTCATACCTTACAAAAAGTGACTGAAAATCTGAATTGTCAGTGTATAATTCTATACAAAAACCACGCATGAGCTTTTTGAATTGTTGAAACTTACTCTGTAGACGACGAATCGATATGCGAAAGTGGTTTCAGGCTAGACTGGACCCTGAGCTACTCCTTCAGTCCCATCAAACCAGGGTGCTCCAATCTGTAAACAGTCAAGAAACAGAGCTTTCAAATGGGTAAAGATGAAGATTGTAGGATAAATAAATAAAACCAGTCGAATTCCATGCCAGTGAATAGCAAGATTCTCTGTAAACAAATGATGAGGGGAATTGGGTAATATGAAGATTCATCATGTCCTGTGTCGCAACCGTCTTTCAGTTGGGCCCCAGAATTGGGCTTCGACTTAAAAAAATATGGATTGGAGTCGCCACCGATCATTTATTTAAAAATAAATGGGTTGATCGGATACTCTATTTCTTACCTGATCTGCGTCTTACCAGAAATATGTCGGGCTCGGGAGTCGGTTACGATCAAGGAAGGATTAGCACCCTTGAACCGCCCTTTCGGTACTACGTAATTTACAGTTGTCTTAATTAAGAAAAATAACAAGTTAAATTAAAAGGTAAAGTTTCGATCCTAATTACTTACCCTTGATTAATTTGAAAAAATCGAGATATGTGTTAGATAAACAAGGTAAAGAAAACAAATAAGATACAAGGGAAAAATAAAATAAATAAAATAAATAAGTAAGATAAGAAAAAAATAATAAAATAATAATTATATATAGTAATATTATATTTATAAGTAAAATATTAAAGAAATATATATATATATATAATAATAAAATATAGTAAAAAAATAAATTAAAATAATTTAATATATATATATATACATTTAATAATAATAACATGAATAATAAAAATAAATGAATAAAATATCCATATAATAAATAAAGGGACTAAAAAAGCTATTCCCCTCCTTTAACCGAAAATCAAATCGGTTTTTAAAAATAAGCCTCGGGGTAGATCTAGGTTCGAAACTTCGAAACCCCACCCATTTTGGTCATCGGCGCAACCCACGTTTTGGGTTGTTCGAACCAAATCTTAAGAAAATAAAGTGCACATGCAAAAGAAAAAAAAAAGAAAATGCTACCTTTTATTTCCTTTTCGAATTCTTTACAATAGTTTTGCCTTTGTATCTTCCCGTGCTTTCCTCTATGTTTTGTGTGTAAATCGTGTCTTACAATGGTGAGTTACAATGGCTATTTATAGTGGTTGTGGATCCTATCTTTAGGAATTTAAATCTTAGTAGAACTCTATCCTATTTTTAGGAGTTTGAATCCTAATAGAACGAAAATGTGTGTTGACAGCTGCCCCTCTTTGCCCATAGTCGTGTAATGGGGATAGGGCAAAGATTAAAAGACACACTTTTCGTTCAGTGGAGTTGAAAATTAACTCTGATGTTTCAATAACTCACTGTCGAATTGAGTTACGGATGACTCCTCCATCGTGAAGTCGAGTTCATCTTGAAATGATATGAAATTGAAGCCGTAGTTCGGAATTTGAATCAGCATGTGGATTCCTGTTACCCTTCGGTCTTCTTCTCGGTTTAAAGACCTTGGATCGGAATCGAACTCGGAAATCTTCATTGACAGATAGCTTTTTCTTGACTTAAGCTATGTTGTTTGAAAATGGTTGCTTGTCACTAAGGCACGGCTAACCCAGGTCATCTTCTCGACTTGAAAACCTCGACTGCAACCGGAAAGTAGTGCGATTGATGTGTCATCGAGCTGAATGAGTCGAACTCGACAATTTTAATGGCAGATAATCCTTATTTGAGTTGGATATCCTTCGTCGTGAAGTTGAAATCCAAGTAAGTAGCATTGTTCCGAGTCCAATATCCTCCGTCGTGAAGTTGAAATTGGCTCTGGAACCGGGAAATTGTTTGTTGACAACCAGTCGTCCCTTCGTTGTGAAGTTGAACTTGTGTTGTCTCGAGTCCAATATCCTTCGCTGTGAAGTTGAAATTGACTCTGAATGAAATTTTGTTGACAAGCAGCGGTCCCTTCGTCGTGGAGTTGAACTTGCGTTGTCTGGAGTCCAATATCCTTCGTTGTGAAGTTGAAATTGGCTCTGCGATTGGGAAGTTGTTGTTGACAAGCAGCGGTCCCTTCGTCGTGAAGTTGAACTTGCGTTGTCTGGAGTCCAATATCCTTCGTTGTGAAGTTGAAATTGGCTCTGAGATTGGGAAGTTGTTGTTGATAAGCAGCGGTCCCTTCGTCTTGAAGTTGAACTTGCGTTGTCTGAAGTCCAATATCCTTCGTTGTGAAGTTGAAATCTATTCTCGAGAAAATTGTGTCATTTCAAGAGAAACTGTCTCAAGGGAGACAAAATTTGTTTGAAGGAAAACATATTCAAAGATTTCGTTAAATTGTTTTCAAAGTTTATGTTTGGAGAGAAACTGTCTCAAGGGAGATAAAATTCGTTTCAAGGGAAACTATCTCAAGCGAGATAAAATTCATTTCAAGGGAAATGTTTTCAATGTTTATGTTTCAAGAGAAACTGTCTCAAGGGAGATAAAATTTTCTGTTTCGAGGGAAACTATCTCAAGAGAGAAAAAAAATCATTTCAAGGGAAATGTTTTCAATGTTTATGTTTCAAGAGAAATTGTCTCAAGGGAGACAAAATTTTCTGTTTCGAGGGAAACTATCTCAGGAGAGAGAAAAATAATTTCAAGGGAAATGTTTTCAAGAGAAACTGTCTCAAGGGAGACAAAATTTTCTGTTTCGAGGGAAACTATCTCAAGCAAGATAAAATTTTCTTAAAAAAATAGCATTGAGTGAAATGAAATGCCTTCTTTCGAGTGAAAACGGTCTCAAGCGAGACAAATCTTGTTTTAAGAAAAACAATCTTGAGTGAAATAAATCTTTTTTCGAGAAAAACAGTGTCAAGTGAGACAAAGTATATTTTAAGAAAAACAAATTTGAGTGAGATAATCATCTGTATTAAATGAGTCTGTCTTAAGTGAGACAAAGTTTATATTGGAAATGTTGAATCTGGAGATAAATGTCGATCTTTCAATCTGTCGAGTTAGTTTTTAATCTCATCTTCTCCTGAAAGATCTGTAAAATGTATATGGATGTAACTATCCTGATGATGTATGCTTGATGTATGCCCAAATGAAATTTATTTGCTGTTGAATTTGCCCTCAAAGGAGGAAAAATCAAGGTTTTTATTGCTCATGATGATGAATTCAAAGATGCAAATTTCATGCGTCATGTATGTACGTGTTGATGTATATGTTGAGATGTGAGGGGAATGGCTGCGTGTGCAGTCTTCATTCTGACTTAATTTGTCTTCATTTCCACTAGGGTGTACTCTTGCAGACCTCAAGACAATTTTTCCTTCCCTTATCAAATTTTGCCCCAAAGATGGTTTCCTTTGCCTCTGTTTCAATCTTGAGCTTCGGAGCGATATTTGTTGAATTCCAAGATATGCTTCCAGAGAACTTATCTTGTTTGAAAATGCTTTTCTTCTTTCGAATTTTCAAAATTTTGAAAAATATTAAAAAGAACTTTTGAAAAAGTTATCTCTTTCTAGGTTTCACAATTGAAGCAAATCATAAAACATGAGTTCATTGGATATCAAAAGAATCAAACACTCTTTTAATCTTTGATAGCTGCAAATCTTTGACAAATATCAAGATCGAAAAGTTGGTCTAGAGGTGGGTTTGTTTCATCGATTTGGTTATCGTGAAGATCATGGCATGCCCCTCTTTCTTGATTTGGTATTTTGATCAGAGGCGAACAAAATGATACAACTAGCATAATCAATGACTAGACTTTTCAGAACACTTCTGTTTCAGTTCTCTAAATCTTCCATTTGTTCAAGTTTCGTAAGCTCTTCTAACAAAGGTAGTGCAGAAATATCGGTCTAAAAAATGAAATTCTTGAGTGCTCGTGTGAATTTGACTATAACAGGTGTTTCTCAACTCCCTTAGTCTATTATTACCGAAAATTTCTTTTTAGATGAATTTGATTTATTTTGCCATTGTCTAGATAGCCGAATCCATAAAGTCAGGGCGTTCAACCAATTGCTTTAGAGGGACAACTTATTATCACTTTTATCAGGTTTAACTGAAGGGTTCATCTCATCACAAAGTCTTTGGCCTGACAAAAGCAGTGGAGCAAACACCGAATTGCCAAGTGTCCGAGCAGTGTCATAGTTTGAACATAATCTATTCATAAAGCCAGGGCTTTCGAGTTTCCTCTATAACCAATTTCCTTAGTGGAATAGCTCAGCTTTACGGATTTAATTTCTTAAGATTGTCAAGAAGAACCTATTATAGTCTAGGTGTTTTTGAAAGTCAAGGGATCTCATCTTTAGATTTCAATTTCCAAACAACTGACCTAAACTAGATTTGCTTACTCGACTATTCCATCTGTAAAGATCATTATCATCCCTGAACATCATAAACAAGGGTATAAATTAGTTTTGCAATCTCATGTGCTAGTTGCCCTATTCTG